GTTTAGCTGTCAATCCCATTTCCCCCCTCCCTTGTTGTTATATAGTTGTCTTTGTAATAGTCAATAGAAAAATAAAATTTAAAAAAGGAAGTAAACTTGTATTTTGCACAAGTTTATACAAAAAAAAAGTCTGAACATTCATAAAAGCTCATAAGCTTGCCTAGTGGGAAGGGCACCTTTAAAAGTTCTTGACCTATCTGCAATAACAGGGGAAATTTTACACTCTTACTCAGAGGCAATCCCTACTCTGAGTGCCAGTCTTGATTCTTCTGAACTAGTGATACTAAGTGCAGGGAAATCAGTTTTTTGAAAACCCAGCAAACAAACATACATAACACCTTCCAATATACTATACTTGAAAAAGCGTTTTCTGTAAGAAATGGTCACCATCATTGCAGAAAACCCCACTCATCTAATTCTTCTTGAGTCACAAAGGGAGGAGTCCCCTGCAGCTGAGGAGGATTACTATAATGGGTTTCTCATTGAACTCTTCATGAAGAGCCACAAAATCTAGAAATAGATCATTCAAGGTTAACCAGAATATTGGAAGCCACACACTCCTCATTAGTGTGACATATCATCACAGGGAGCCAGCTGTGTGCCATATGAGAAAAGCTTTGGGGGGAAAAAAAGAAAAAACTACCCTCCTTTAGGAGGCTGCAGCTTTGTAGCACAGCAAGTACTTATATACAAATGAAAGTATATTTGCTTAGCTAATTGAGAGGAAACAACCCCTGTGTTATATCATCTCCGCAGTGGGTGAACTTCAATGACAGAATATTTACACAAAGCCTCACTTTGAAATAGCTACTGTTCCAATTAGAAGGAACCCCCCAAAGCTTACATAACCTTGAGATGCTTCTAACTTTATCTGCAAGCATGTGAACAAGTCCTTATGAATTCCACCATATGTATATTTATATATCAGATACATAGTATAAAATAGGCCACAGGTCTCTCTCTCTCTCTCTCTCTGTTAATGAACTTCTAAAACATTGATTACATAAACATCCTAGTAATAGATAGAGTGTGTTGTACGCCATCAATGCAATACTTTTGGTTTGCTTTTTTTATACTTGACTAATGTAATATGTCTACAGGCTGGTGCAGGCTGTCTCTGAAATACAAATACTTTTTCTGTACAGTGGGGTCTCGACTTACAAACTTAATCCGTATTGGAAGGCAGTTCTCAGGTCGAAAAGTTCTTAAGTCGAATCTGCATTTCCCATAGGAATGCATTGAAAACCATTTAATCCGTATCTGCTCTTTTCGTCCATAGAAACTAATGGGAAGCTGCTATTCCGCCTTCTGCCACTAGAGGGGGATATTTTTTCCTTTTTTCCTTTTAACCTAAGATGACTTAGTTTTAAAAAAAGGGGAAAAAAGAGTTCGTAACTCGAATCTAAGTTCGTAAGTCGAGTCCATATATTCCTATGAGAGTGGTTCGTAAGTCGAAACGTTCGTATGTCGAGCCGTTCGTAAGTCGAGACCCCACTGTAATTTAGAAGTTAGTTCTTGGTTCTCTTAATATTAACACCTGTGTGCAAAGTTAGGCTCAAAAGAAAATACCACGAAATACTTTTATTGGGTGGCCAGCCTTGGGATTCCCTCCCTTTGAAATGGAAGTTCAAAGACAAAAAGGCTGCAACCGTAAGCACACATAACAGGGGGGATTACACCAAACACAGAAAGACTTACATCTGAGTAGACACGCATTCTGCAGAAACAGATTTTCATTCAAACTGTGAATGTAAATCACAGTTTAGTTCAACATGTGACAAGTCTTGCATATGTAAGTTTTTGTTATCAGGCTTTAAGAGTAGCAATTGATTTTTCTCTCAAGACCACTGAGAAGAAATTAAGGCAAAATGGAAGAACATCTCAGCTCCTGCCTCATTTTCAAATAAGTCTCCACACAGGGTTCTGCTGCTAGAGATGTCATTTTGAGTACATATCTCTTGAAAATTGTTGTAAGAGTAGCACTCTTTGAGAAGGAGGTATGTCTTGCCAAGGAACTCCAACTGCTGATCCCTACAAACAGCATTTTACTGCCCCAACAATTTACAATTTACAACAATTTACCTTCTAAAATATAAAAACTGAATATTCCAAGTACTCAAACATCATGATGTCATTATGGACAAGACACCCTCACATGCCAAATAGAAGTAGTTCAGAATATCACATGACAGGATGACAGAAACTATGAGAACCATCCCAATGTTAGTGGAGGCAGTGAAAATGTCATTCTTCTCTGCCACCATTGTGTCTGTACAGAGTCATCCAATGGAGCTGTGAAGAATTTGCACAACACTTTGCAGGCAAAATTGCTCGGATTCACTCTGACTTGGATGCTGTAGTTCAGAGGTCCCCAAGCCCTGGTCTGCAGCCCGGTGCCAGTCCATGGGCTTCCCAGGACTGGGCCATAGAGACAGATCTTCACACACCTCCGCACACAGGGCATGTCACACTCGCACAAAGAGGGTGTTGCAGTCACGGGGGGGCATGTCGTGCTCGTGGGGGGGTTGCACCCCCAAGCATGACATGCCCACCTGTCTCTGTGTCCCCGCCCCCCTGCGCACAGAGCCTGCCCCCCGCAACTGGTCCATGGTTCCAAACCAGTTGGGGACCACTACTGTAGTTGATTCCGGTCTGATAAATAGAACGACATCCCCTGCTTGCCTTGTTAATGGATGCGTTTCAGTTTCTGCTGCCTGATGATGTGGACAGGACCCTTGGAAAGATGAAGGCTACCACATGTCTGCTGAACCTTTGCCCTTTCTGGCTCATAAAAGCTACCAGAAAGGGACTGGTTGAGTGGGTCGGAGGACTGGGGAATGCCTCCTTGCAACAGAGTAGGATTCCAGCATGCTTAATGGAGGCATTAGTAAAACCATTGTTCAAAAAGCTCTTCTTGCATCCCACAATACTGAATAATTACTGGGTCTCTCGAATATTTCATTCTTGGGAAAGATGCAGGAGCAGATTGTGGCTTCTCGGCTCCAGGGGTTCTGGGATGAGACATTATCTAGATCTATTTCAATCTAGCTCAGGCCTGGTTATGTGGCAGAGGTTGATCTGGTTGCCTTTGTGCATGACCTATGACAGGAAATAGACAAGGGGAGCGTGGCCCAGTTGGTTCTCCTGGGCCTCTCAGCAGCTTTCAGTGCCATCGGCCATGATATCCTTCTGGCCCGTCTCTCCTGGACAGGACTTAGTGGCACATTGGTCCTTCCTAGAGGAGAGAACTCAGAAAGTGGTGCTGAGAGGCTCTTGTATGACACCCTGGCTACTGGCCTGTGGGGTCCCTCAAGGTTTTGTTTTCTCTCCTATGTTATTTACAACATCTGTGTGAAACTGCTGAGAGATACTGTCTGGAGTTCTGGGGTCAGTGGCACCAGCATGTACATAGATGGCATGCAACTCTCTCTCTCCTTACTATCTAAATCCGAGGAAATTCTAGATCAGTGTCTGATGTCAGTAATGGACTGGATAAGGACGAATAAATTAAAACTTAATCCAGACAAGACAGAGGTGTTCCTGATCAGTTGAAAAGTAGACCAAGGAGTAAGGTTTCAGCCTGTGCAGGATGGGGTTACATTCCATCTGAAAGCACAGGAGTGGAGCTTGGGGGTGCTCCTGGATTCCTCTCCGAAGCTGGATGCCCAGGTTTTTGGCAATGGCCAGGAGTGCACTTGCAAAAATTAAACAAGTGTACCAGCTGTGTCTATTCCTAAAGAGGCTAGATCTGGCCACTGTGACACATGCCTAATTCACTCTATATAGGGCTGCCTATGGAAAATGTCAGAAACGTTCAGCAGGGCCAAAACACAACAGCTAGATTGCCGACTGGGGCTGATCACAGGATCCCATAACTCCCTGTTACAGCAGCTCCAATGACGGTCTGCTTCAATTCAAAGTGCTGCTTTTAATCTACAAAGCTGTAAACAGCTTCGATCCAAGGACCTTGTTTCCCTTCATGAGCCTTTCTCTCGGCGCTGCCACCTTCACAGGTGCATTTGGTTGGAAAATGGAAGAAGACTTTCTCTGCTGCTGCTCCCAGACTTTGGAATTCCCTCCCACCGGGCCAGCTAGGCTGGCCCCATATTTGCGGCCCTTGCATAAGCAGGCAAAGACCTTTCTCTTTAGGCAGACTTTCCTTCAGTGACTGGCTAGCTGCCTGAACGAAGTTTTAAAAGAATTGTTGTACCTTACTGCTTTGAATGTGTTTTCGTGTTACTTTTGTTTGCTTGATTTTTGTGTGCCATGTTTATTTGATCCCTTTTAGTATTTGTATACTTACTGTTGTTAGCTTTCAATACTATCTTTTATTGATGTAAGCCATCTTGGGTCCCTTTCAAGGAGAAAGGCATGGCAAAAATATTTTAAATAAATAAATTTAGTTGAGTAGCTTCTCAGGCTCAACCAATCCATTTTCAAGACGACACTGGACATCAGGAAGAGACTCCAAGGTTAGCACTAGATGGCAATTTGTCACCTATAATGATCAATGCCAGACTATACACGTGACAGTATTTCTGTACCTTCCTTAGTCATTTCGAAGGGAAAGACTATAAATGTGTTGCAGTGTCTAGGCTTTCTCTAACAAACAATTAGCCACTGTTAAGAACAAACAGTAGCTACTTAGCGATTGGGGGGGAATAGTTCCTGACCCTCTATTATATTTTCTTGATTCTAGAAATTTTAATTGTTAGAGCTATAATTGATTATATGTTAATTCCACTAAAAATATTCACTAGGCTAGAGGTATGTAAAAACCACTCGGAAAGTGCAGCATACCCAAGGCAGTTAAATGCCTCTCTCGCACACATGCATCCAATGCAGTTACATAAGCAAAACAGCATTGTACAGTCAAGAAGCAAAATCTTTTCAAAAGTAGTTTCTTTACACGACAAACTAATTTTTATTATTTTTTATTATTTTTATTATTAAAAGAGCAAAAAACAGAGAAACTGGTAATAACAAATTAAAACACCTGCCTTTTCCAAAGTAATCCAGTGCTTGCTGTTACAGCTGCTGTTCCTACAAAAGCCACCATCATCAGCCTGCGCTGGCCATGGACAGAATGGGTTGTTCCATAGAGTCGCCTGGAAACAGCAGTGAAACCTGCCACGGCAGGGAGAAGGCGGAAACACAACATCCTGGGAAGGAAAAGCAGAGCATACAATGAGAAGAGCAAAATGAAGACAGCTAATATCTCATAACCCATGTTGGAGCAAAGTGCCTTTCACAGGACAAAGAACTGCATCTTTCAACCCTTTTCAATTCACAGCCTGGTGGGCAAAAACAAGTGGGCGGGAAAACTTTACACCCTACCACTTAATCCTCTTAAATCAGTTGGTTTCCAGGCTAAACACACATGTTATGGTTACGTTATAGACAACCAGACATACATGCCTCAGATTGCAAGTTAGAGCAGTACCAGGAATACACCTGGGCAATAAACTGGAAGGGACTCAAGAGTGGTTGATCCCAAGGTAGAATCAACTGGAAACTGGAATCTGTAATATACATTCCATCTGAGGAATGGGGCTAGAAGGTGAGAACAAGTCATGTCACTTCACAGCACAAGACTGGATGACAGCCTGGGACACAAGCATCAACATCTGGAGCAAGACTGTAGTCCAGATGCTGGCTCATTCTTTTGCAAGATGTAGTGTGGACCTGGATGCATGAATACATAAAACAAGGCAAGGAGATTAATGCTGCTTCAGTCTAAACCTGTAAAAGAGAATACCAATGCACACCCCGGGAAACTTCTGGTTTGAATCCTAACATTAAGATGCCTTAGTCCAGCTCTTTCCCACCCTCATGTCCTGAGCCCCAGGTACCTAGGCAATAGTCAGGGATGCCATGTAGTGTAATTCAACACACCTGAAAGCCAGAAGATTGGGGAAGAAAGCATTCACCTATCTAGCATAGATACTGGCTGGAGCATCAGCAATGAAGTCAGAAAGTTTAACCTATCTCATAGCTAATGTCTGTACAGCACTTATGTCATAATCCTACTACACTGCTGTATGTAAAGCAACTGAAAAATCAAGAAGATTTGCTACATCAATATATCTGTCATTTGGGACTACCAATCCAAAAGACACTAACATGGAACCACCATGTCACTCCTGAGGACTAGAGTCCTGATAGAACCAATGAGGTTCACAAAAGGGCTTAAATATTTGCAGGGATTTCAGTTTTTTCCCATTTTTCCAAAATGTCTCTTCCAGGTTCTCTTTCAACTCTCAAAAAGAATCTTTCTCTTTCTGTGTACTATGTGCTTATTAGTGTGAAAGCACTAGTAAATATATAGTGTGCATTGTTAGTTTTGCCTACAATACAAAGCCTCAGTAGGAAAAATCTGCCACTTCAGTTCAGATGAGCTCTCTAGACTGCAAACATTGGCTTGGCTAATAATACATATCATGATTCACCTTTTACAACCATCAAAATTCAGTTCACTGGCCAGATTACTACAGAAAGAAAAATGGAAAATTGACTACTGATCTAAGTGGTATTTAAAAGTGAAGGCCTTAAAGTGGAAACATTGTGTCCATGTGCAAACAACAACCTATTTAAGAAGTACCTGTGGGAAATACAAAAATGGAAAGAACTGACATAATAATGACTCCACCAGGGAAGCACCTTTACTCTAAGACGATGTGTTTCTATCCTGTAGAGTACCGGTAAGTGCCAGGCTTTTAAACAGCAAAACTACTGCCTAATGCACACAGCTGGAGGAACCATTAGTCACAGAGAGCCAGACAAATATTTGGGGCATTGCAACCTGGAAGCAAGCCAGAGAACCCCTGAGGAACATAGCAATAGTGGTGCTTGGGCAGAAGCAGCAGAGAATGCTATAGGGAAGCAAAGTACTACAATTGTGCACCCTTTTAATTGAAATCATTTCTCTCAAAAGAAAGGGTGGCAGCTGCTTCATCCTATCAGGTACACTGAGCTTCTCATCCCTCACTATTTCAGTGCTCTCAAGAACCACACACAACACTGACTGTGCCACCTCTCGGAGTCATCTGACACATTGGTTAGTCTGCTTTCTTATATGTGTTGCCAGCCAACTGGGGGAAAGAGATGACTCCCCAGCTGTGACACCACAGTTTGCCAGCTTAAAAGGGAAAAAGCTAAAAAGATGGAGCAGCTGGAAGGCAAGAAGATAGGTGTATACCTCCTATGCCTAGCAGAACCTCAGCATGCAGTTTATGGAAACCCTTTGCACAGCAACCTGGAAGAAATTGTAAAGATGTTTTGGAAGAAAGCATCTTTTCCTGGAACAAACAATATATCTTACTCTTCTCGAGGTAAAAATCCCACCACCATCACAAAGGCCCAGTGGCAACACGAAGTCTTCGGGTCTGTCGACCAGAATTAGGAAATCAGAAGCAATTCATAGCCTTGAACAATCTACCTCCTCCTCCCCAAATTCCCATTTCTTTTCCTTTCATCATTAACCACAATTAGAATTAACATCGACAAACAGTTTAATACTAAACATGTTTAGGGGCTGTGGGCCAGCTTCCTAGCCCTGGTGTAAATTCTGTTGTTAAGCTAACCACAGGTGCAACATGGTAAAAGTTAACCATAGGTGCTAATCACAGTAAAGGCTGAATTAAGAAGGATAATTTGCACAATGAGGAGAAGGGAACATGTAGTCTGCAGGGCATCTCTAATCTATTACCCAAGAGAAAAGGAGGATTTTGTACCTGCATCTACCTTAAATATCTTTTTTAAAAACCAAAACAGGCAAAGTTGCATCCATTGCATGAAAGTCTACCCAAACACAGCCAGAGCTCAGATCTACAAAAATAAAGAGAAAGTCTCGTCACCAGTGTTTTTCTTCAGTGTGATATAGACATGAAAATGACCAATGTAGGTTTCTGATAAAAGCTGTTGTTGCAAACAGATCTGACAGCCTTGGCATAAATTAGACAGACCACATTAAGGTTTTTCTCCCCTCTGAACAAAGATGCAAAAGAGAACATCAAGGAGGCTCTAGAAAAAAGAGACCTGATCAAACATACAAAGTAAAATGACATGTAAAATTGAGACAAACAGTGGAGTCCAACATAAAAAGGTGTGAAAAAGCTGCAATCTGTAGGAGTAGAGTAGAGGAAAAAGCTGCACAGTTATAGAAGATAGCTTCAGGAAAAAGACAAGCACCAGGCAGGAGCAAAAAAGGCACAAAATGAGAGAAAGGAGGAGGTGAGGATTATACAAGACAGCTGTTCACAGCTTTCAAACTTTTTCATATTAACATCTAGAATGCTGGCCTTTTCTTCTGTACACCAGCACTCTTTCAAAGGAAAGGAATTTTTTTATATAAAACCTTCAGCAGCCAGTGAGCTTAGTAACATGCTATTTTTAAAAGCAGTTTTGTGCACGAGAATTTACTTGCATGCAGCATTTTTTTTCAGTGTCTCTGTCCAATTTACTCATTCTTCATCATAGGTCTGACAATACATTAGGCACTTTTGGCCTCTTTAGCACAGCTACTTAGCAGGCATTGCTGCACTTTATAAGATTACTTCTTAAGGCTTCCAATAATACCAAAGCCTATATTGCCTTTGAAGTCAACACTGGCAAGCTGTGTCAACACAAGTTGAAAAATAGAAGACCGTCACCAATTCAGATGAAAGTTTCCAGTGTGTGCTTTTTATCTGACAGTTGCAGGCTCAGTTTCCTAAAATTGAAAATGTAACTGTACTGTGTTTGTATGCAGATACTTATACATAATGCACACAAGTCTACATGACAGAATAATAGAATCAATAGTGTTGATAGCTGTCACAAATATACACAACATCCATAGAAAACCAAGGAACAGTCCATGGACATGTGATGCTGCTGGAACTAGACAGTCTTGGACCTGGACAGAAGGCCACCTGGGAACCCCAAGTGCACTGCCTTCCATGGCAGGAAAAAGACAGGTTATAAATGAGAAACAAAATAAATCAAACACATGCCAGAATTCACACTTTATGCCATCAATCAGATGAACATTGGTTAATAATCAAGATGAGCTGCGGGACTCCTTGATCCTTTTCCTCCTTTCAAGAGGACTAATTTCCCCCTGCAGGATCTAACCATGAATAGAGTCAAGCAAGGTTGTGGCTTATCTGAGAATCTGAAGTCAACTGCAAAGCGTAGCCCCTGCAGAAGTTCTTGGACTGCAACTCTGCAGCACAGTCAATGGACAGAAATGATGGGACACTGCCATCCAAGAGCCTGTGGAAGCCCGCATTTGACCTACCCTGGGTTAACACCACTCCAGTTAACGAACTGCAGTGTTAATCAGTGCCATACATCAGCAACTTGTGAAACACTCTGGACACTGGAAATTTCTGCAGCCTCTACCTGGTTGCTTAACCATGCTTAAGTAATCAAAAACATTAGAGCTATGGCGCCCCAGACAATTTATTACAGGTTATTAAAAAGCAATGAAAATAAATAAGAACTACTACACATCCTGGAAAGTAACATTATGAAACCCACCAGAAGTAGACTTACTACTCCTATACCCCAGAGAAAATACACAAGCAATTTTCCCAAAGAGAAAGGCAGGGAAGAATGGACATGAGGAGTACAGGGGAATCATCATGGGATAAGCCAAGACTCCTGTGAACAAAGCAGACAACAGAGATGTTGCATTAGCCTCTAAGGGCAAGTATCATTTAGAAGAAAATGGTGTGTTGTTTTCTGAAAAGGAAAACAACTGAAAGGAGCCGCTCTGCAGCTGCTAAAATATTTTACAGCAAGACTTCTCCCCCTGCACTGCAGCTTCTGCAGGCAGCTTTGTTTGGCAGCTCCAGAGATCAGAATCAAAAGCATATTACAATGGAGTAGATCAAAGCAGCTTCTTCTACGGCTTTCCCTAACAGTAGGAAATCCATGTGGGAACAGAAAGAGGCAGCATTCATACCTCCTCTAGCAACATCCTCAAAAGTTAAAAGTTGTATGTATACCTACCAATGAAGCTGCATCCAATAAGGAAAACAGAGAAAGGAAGGGAAAGAACTTTCCCCTTGGACCTTTTCTTTTTTAAAGAGTTGCTGGGCTGAAATCATACCTAGACATCTTCAAGCCCTTCCCTTTAATACAGTATCAGATGCAAGAAGGCTAGTTTTGGTTATTC